CTATCTTATTCGGTGATCGTAGAAAATATACTAATTCATAGTTTAAAGAAAAGAAACAACTAAAAAACAACTTAAAAGTAGCACACATGTTTAGATATTAGAAGAAACCTGTTGTAATATTAAGAACTCGCGAAGTTTCTGCTTAAAAACGCGGGCGGAGAGATCTTTTAGACTGTCAGGTAGATGGTTGTATAGTTTGGATATATTATAGAAGAAGAAGCGTTGGTAAAGAGCTGTAGTGTGTATGGGAGGGGTAATAGTGCCTTTATAGCGAATATTAAGAGTGTGTACGTCAGTGCGAAAGGTAATTTTGTTAATGAGGTAGGGAGGTGATTTATTTAAAATAATTTTATGATATGTGCAGGCCTTCAACAAATAAAAACGATTCTGCATGTTCAACCAGTTAGCGTTAGACAGTTTATGTGTTATGTGGTCAAACTTGCGGATGTTGTATATATATCGCAAACAGGCATTTTGAACCTTTTGAATTCTATTTTTATCAATACCTTGCAAGCATGGACTGAATACAACACTACAGAAAGTAAAATGTGACAATACTAATGATTCGCAAAGTAAAATCTTTGTTTTTATTGAGAAATAGTGTCGGTGTGCATATAGCAACCTTAAACTTCCATAAGCTTTTACTATGCTTTGTGAAATATGATACGAAAATCTAAAAGTATTGTCAAGATGCAGGCCTAAATTTTTTGCACGGTGGACTACAGGTATGATTGTGTTATTGATATGAATAGTTATATCTGAAAGGTACCTATTAGTATTCCTACCACCAAATAACAGCACTTGTGATTTTGAGGGATTGATGTGTAAATTATGTTTTAGAGAAGTTATATAGAGGTTTTGTAAATCATTATTAATCTTAGACACTGCATTATTGATTTCAGACGGTTTAAATGACAGATATAATTGAGTGTCATCCGCATAGGCATGATAATTGCATGAAGTGATTACATTGTTAAAGGATGAGGTGTAAATGCTGAATAATGTTGGTCCTAATATCGATCCCTGGGGAACGCCACAGCTTAGAGGCAAAAGATCAGATACAGCATTTTCCAACTTAACACACTGAAACCTATTGGACAAATAGTCGAGGAGGAAATCTGCGGCATTCCGTGTAAGTCCAATGAAATGTAAAATAGAGCGTAATAAATGGTGATCAATGGTATCGAACGCCTTCGAAAAATCGAGAAGAACCAGGATGGTCAATTTTCTTTGATCAGTTGCTTGAAGGATGTCATCTGTTATGTTGAGAAGCGCAGTGCTACAACTGTGCAACGGTCTAAAACCAGACTGTGTAAGAGAACATAACTGAGTAGGTAATAACTTCTTTTAAGTAATATTTGTGTTTATTTCTCATTAATAAATATTGTAATATGAAGTCATCTTTAAGTCGCGTATCAATAGAAGGCCCAAACTGTGTTAAAAGTCTTGGATGAACCAAAAGTAACTCAAAAACGAAGTTTTATTTCACATAAAAACACATATTTTTGGTTTATTTTTATGTGAATACATATTTCAAAGATATTCATAAAAAACACATAAATACGACGTTTTTAATTTATTTTATCCCTTTTTTCTCTCTTCCCGTGCATCATATTCCCCATTTTTGTCCCCATATTTATTTACACAAGATTTCTGTGTGCAGTGAGTACTATGGTATCTTGTTTCTGCATTCGTCACTTCCGCAAATTCTAGACCTGCTGACAAGTTCTGTTTTTTGCATGCGGCTACCCCTAATTTTTTGACTGGCTGCTTTCTTATCTATCTGACTCGGTAGGTACTGTTGCAATTCAACACTGCAGATTCGTTCAGTTGTTAAAGTAGACAGTTGGACCGGACCATACCGTGCGTAAGATGTCTTAAGTTAAATCGAGCACAAATTTGCGTCTTCACTCTTCAACAGTAGCCAATATACAATTGAATTTAAAAACATGTAAATTTTAACGACATCCCATGAACCCTCTCTTAAAATACGCAAGACTTACTTCCTGTGACGTGAAAAGGTGTTTCTCGCAGTACAAATTATTATTCAGTGACAATCGACAATCACTTGTGATCGATAATTTGGAGATGCCTTTTGTTGTACATTGCAATGCTAAAGAAACTCCTGGTAAGTAATGTTCAGCTACTATTGGTGAATAAAAGACTTGTCTTTTTTCCGTTTTTTTTTGCGAAAATTGTTAAAATAATTTTAAATTTTTAGTAAATATTTTAATGTTTTTAACCTGGTTTTTAAGCAGATAAAAAATAAATATTTTGGAAGTTTTTAGCACTAAAAATCCGCGCCCTACTCATAAACATCAACAGATGTATTAAAATTATAGTAAGTCCGGTTCCGCTTATTTATAAGAGTGGGATTTTCCAAAACGTGAATAATATTTTCAAGTGCACGAGAGGTTTGTATTTTACCGAGTAAATTTGGGTTGTTTAGGTAAAGAAAATGTGTTGCCTGGCAATTAGACGAGAAAAACTGGCAACTAATAAAAATGCGACACCGAAGGTATTGACTCAAGTTTTAAATGAATGCATCAAACGGTAGAAGATTTAACTACTTGACATATACGGCAGCATTAACTGGTTAACAATGCATATAAGACTTTGTTTGAAAGATGCTTCCACGCCAACAACCTTTCGTATTTTTTATAATCGGCATTTTCATTTGGATTTGCAGGTACCAACTTATTCTGCTACTGCAGCAAGCCAGTGAAGGGACGGTGTATTTTATGTTCTTTAAACGAAGTCATTTTAGTTGTCAAGTGACATTACCATGTCATTCGTGGAACTACGAACATTCGGCCCACTTAATTAGAAATTTATTCGAGTATAGTGCCAATATGATTTTATTTTAATTCCTTTATTTTGAAATTATATTGCAGGTATAATAAAACGTGTGTATAAATGGTCTTTAAAGCACTTTCACCGTTTAAGCACATTCCGCTACGCGTTGACCCTGTAAACTCCTTGCGCGTGCTTTAAAGATTTGTTTATACACTTGCCTGAAGATAACACGTAGTTGAAATCGAAACCTTAAGGAATTATGAATGTTTAACATGATTAATCCAGCCTTTTGTACGTTTTTTTGGTACGCAGTAAAATTAAAACTTAACATACCTGAATATACCATTAAACTAGAAACTGAAACGGCGACCAGGAGGAGAAAAAAGTGGTTGTATACGCTCATTGAGTTTATTATTGTAAACATATCGTGACAAAAAAATGCGGGCCGAGAGTAGAGAAATTTCTTCCCGGCAATAAATATGATATGCCATAACCACAACTAACGTAAATATTCCTCAAGTAAAAAGAGCCGAAAGTAAATAAAAACAATAAATTATTTGCAGGCGAGGTTTATCAAATATTCCGGTTGAAAGCGATGAATTGAGCGAGCGACATCGTTATAGATTTTTAATTTTTCGAAGGCGCTGTCTTACAACCCGCCATCGAATGGCACTGCAGAAGCATTATGTAAAATACAAAATTATTTTTAATTACACCGTTTCTCGTTATATCTTGAAAAATGATTTCTAAATTAGGGTTTTTTTGTATAATAATGTTAAATAAATTCATTTAAAAGCCCAATTCGAGGGCTAATTAAGTTAATTGACCTAAATCTAGAATCAAGGATGTGGTTACGTCAAAACTCGTAGCCCTTCTTTTATGCTTTACACAAAATATGCGTAGATAAACGAAGTTATTTACTGCAAACATGAAAAAGTTATAATTACAAAGTAATGTCTCACATTTTATAATGGATAATGCATACGTGCTACATGGTAACCATTTTACTTACCAAGGGAATATGTTTTTTACGAGACCGGATCCATATTTTTTCAGGTATAGAGCATAATAGCGTAATATGCAAACGTTATGTTTAGACAGTAAACTTTCACGATCTGCGTATTTTGTAGTCTGCCGCTTTTATATCCGCTAATGAAGCGACCATAGTTAGCAATTTGAAGTATTTAATAAGAGTCTCAATAATGTTAGAGCTGAGAAAGTTAAATACACTAACAACCGCCTTTGTTGCGCAGTTAGTAAAATTTGACAATGATATTTGCTAATTTTAAATTTGTAGATACTTCATTTCATGAAATTAATGTTTGGGGTTCGTTTTACAAAGGAATATTTGACAATGTCCATCTTTGATGTGGAACAGTAAAGGCAAAGTTAACTTGAAATAGTCTCTTTATGTTTAACCTCTGTTAAAAGTTTGGATTTTCCTGTACCTTGTGGAGCACGCACTTTGGTAAACAGTTTGCAATGATACTTTTTAAAAGTTGTACCATGCGAGCTTATAATCTAGTACTCGCGATGTAGGACAATAAAATAGTAAAATCGTAATCGGAATTAAACTTTTGCATTTGTAAAATGTTGGCCGGCCGGGCAATCGTTATGCCACACAATGAAGAAACTCCGTTGGCACTACAATAAAAAGTTCCCATGTCACGGCAGGGCCCAGTGGAGCTAGCTCGAAATCCACTGAACTAGAGTGATCAAAATTTTAACCGACGGAGTTCCACTTCAGGCTATCCGAGTGCGCTAAAATCGGTCGTCTGCCGCCTCAGGTCATATCACTTAAGGCCTTAACGCCTCTCATTAACACTCCCAACGATTTACAGAAAATCATAATCTTTTAGTATCGCTTTTCTTTGCATGTTTTTTCTTATAACCCATTGCGTCTTTTAACCAGTGACGTTTTTTTAAATCACGTACCAATCGTTAACTATTCTTATTTATGAGCGCAAATAGAAAACTAGAACTCAATAACTCATCTCATTGTCATTGTCAAGATGGCGACCGCGTCAAGTTGTCGTTTAAGTGCGTGCTAAATATTTCGCACAAATCCTGGTGCATTGCGCTAGATTAAAGTGTAATTTGTATTTGTGAAGACTCTCGGAAGCTACGTAGTCCTGTATCCTCTTCTAGTGGAAGTTACCGATAAAAATTGGTGATAGTTATATTATAAAAGCTTTCAAAACGAAATGGCAGAGTTCTGTATCGCGTGCTGCGGCAAGTCAACGAGGAACAATATTTTGCATAGGTGTAATGCTTGTGATAGCCTATGGCATGCCAAATGTGCGGGCTTATCTACAGAGGCCGTTCCCTCAGATTGGTTATGTAATGCGTGTGGTGAGCCAACTTTAAAAGACATAATGAAAGAACTAAGAGCACTAAGCGCAAAAAATTCTTTTATTACCGAAAAAATCAGTGCGTGCCAAAAATCTATTGAAGATGTGAAAACCTCCTTACATGTACAAGAAGTTAAGGTGCAGGAGTATATTAATATTACTGAAAATCTACGTAGCCAAAACGCGTCTTTGATATCACAAGTGTGTCAATTAACAAGTAAAGTTAATCAGCAAGAACAGTATTCTAGAGCAAATACCCTTGAACTGCACGGTATACCAGTAGCTCCTCATGAGGATATCCTAAAAATTGTCATTTCGGTCGGCAATGCAGTTAATTTCAAAATTACGCCAACTGTGGTGGATGTTGCGCATCGTCTGCGACCTCGCGATAACAACACAAACAGACCCAGTGGTATCATTATCAAATTCGTGCGGCGTTATGATAAAGAAGGCTTTCTGAGAGCAGTGAAATCGCGAAAGAACTTTAGCAGTCATGACCTCACCGATAATGCATCACTTTTGGAACTTCCCAGTAGCCAGATATTCGCGGTGGAATCTCTATCGCCCTATAATAAGCAGCTGTTCCATCAATGCAGGCAGTTCAAAAAGGATCATGCTTTTAAATATTTATGGACGAAAAACGGTAGGATTTTTCTACGTAGAGCTGACGGTGAAAATGTCTCCATAATATCCAATGAAGACGAGCTCAAGAAGTTGTGGAGAGGAAAAGGAGCTCCCTAATTTTTCATTTCAGCTACCTCCTATAATTACTTAATTTGTTTATTTTTCGAATACCCGTATTAGTTAAAAAAAAAGGAACTTTTCTATTTTTTGCATATTATACAATAAGTTTAAAAAATAAGTTTTTTCTTTTTTTTTTGTTAAATGGAGATGTTATGGAATTAGAAACTGATATATGTACCTAAGCGTGTGCACCCGGATGGTGCGAGCTTTTGTTTATTTTTGTGTCGTTCCAATACGTTTTGTCTGTGCTTAAATTTAATTAATTAGCTTTTGTTGTAGGTATGGTGTTGCGATGTGCTCATCTCAATGTTAGATCGTTAACCGCAAATTTTTGTAACCTAAAGGATTTGGTACTTTGCAATAACTATGATATCTTTGGCGTTACGGAAACCTGGCTTAATGGAAATATAGATTCAGCGTGCGTATCAATAGAGGGTTATAAATTGATAAGAAGGGATCGTTCTATGACAGGTGGTGGCGGTGTCGGCCTCTATGTCAAAAACGGTATTAGCTATAATTTCGTTTCCTCTACTGGTGATTTAGAGCAGTTGTGGATATCTGTAAGACTCGGTAAGCGCAAATATGCAATAGGTGTTTTGTATAAACCGCCGAAATTATATTACCAAGACTTTCTGAGTGCACTGAACGGTGAATTATCTGTATTGTTTCCTACTCATGATGAGGTGCTGTTCTTAGGCGACCTAAATATAAATTTGCTTCAACCGAACAACGCGGACTCTTCTGCTCTGCAGTTACTGTTAGATAGTATTGGCCTTGTACAATTGATAAATGAGCCAACTCGTGTCACGGAAACTTCTGCTTCAATTATAGATCACGTGATTGTTAGTAACACTGTGGATATTGTTGACTCTGGTGTGGTTCATTGTCCTCAAGTTGCTGATCATGACCTAGTGTGCTGTTCAGTGAATGCTGCAGAAAATAGATCTCTTCATCACAAAATCAAAACCTATAGGGATTTTAAAAATCTTGATCCCTCACTGTTCTATAAGCACCTTTGTTCCATACCGTGGAAAAACATTTATAATTGTGTGGATATCAATGAGAAAATTCAATTTATTAACGACAATTTAAACACATTACTTGATTTTCATGCTCCCCTCAAAACTTCCAGGTTTTGTAAGAAACCCGCTCCCTGGCTCACTGATACCCTCAGGTTGATGATGGATGACAGGAATAAAGCGCTGCAGAAATATAAACGCACAAAGATGTTGTGTGACTGGGAATATTATCGCCAGCTCCGTAATATAGTTAATATTGCAATCAATAATGAAAAGAAAGCCTACTATAACCGACAGTTTCATTTGCGAAATAGTAAAAGATTCTGGAATTACCTAAGACAATTAAACCTAGCTAACAGAACCAACCAAGGAACACAATTTCCGGCATCCATTAACAATCCAGATGATATCAATTGGGAACTTATAAGCAATATTCCTCTTTTGACTCATGATCATGCGGATATTACAAATTTCTATAAAAGTAATGTCAAAAGCGGTATACGCTCAGTTTTAACGTTCAGCACGATTGATATTGATGATGCGACTGTGCTCCAGCACATTAATTCTATCAAATCGAAAGCTTGTGGCCACGATGCAATTAGTATAGAATTAATTAAATTGTGTATCCCACGTTTGTTAAGTATTTTCACGCATGTGTTTAATTTCTGTATCTTAAATTCTACATTTCCTGACAGCTGGAAAAAGTCATATGTGATCCCAATTCCTAAAAAGAAGGAAGTTTTGAGTATTAGTGACATTAGACCAATAAGTATTTTGCCCGTGTTATCAAAAATTTTTGAGAAAATTATTGACTCACAAATTAGAAGACACCTTAGTATTAACAACATTTTACCAGAGGAGCAATCCGGTTTTAGGCCCGGCCATAGTTGTTGTACAGCACTACTGAAAGTTACCGATGATATATTTCGATCAATGGACAAAGGAATGGCTACAGTTCTGGTATTGCTTGACTATAGCAAGGCTTTCGATACATTAAACCATGACATCCTGATAGCATTAATACACTTCCTAGGTTTTGATAAATCCGCAGTCGAATTAATTTCAAATTATCTTATTAACCGCCAACAAGCTGTAGTAGTTGGGAACAAAATTTCCAAATTTCAAGCTGTTAGCAGAGGAGTCCCCCAAGGTTCAATCTTAGGTCCGTTATTCTATATTATGTACACATCTACATTTCCGGGCATGCTAAAACATGTCACATGTCATATGTATGCGGATGACATACAGTTATATTACTCTTTTTATCCGAGTGACTTGAAAACTGCGGTAGCGAAGGTAAATCTTGACCTGAATATAATTTCTAAAATTTCGAATGAATACTAAATTCCGGTAAATCCGCTGTAACATGTTTTGGCATCGATGACGCTAGTGCAGAAGTCCTCAACATCCAGGTAGGAAATCAGACAGTGGCTGTAACTAAAGTTGTAAAGAATTTGGGAGTAATTCTTGATCCGAAACTAAGATTTTCAGAACATGTAACTCGGTGCATTCGAAATAGTTATGCAGCACTTAAATTAATATACAACAGTCGACGCATCCTAAGTACCTCCACGAAAACTCTTTTGTGCCAAACATTAGTCTTACCAAGGTCAAACTTCTGTGATATTCTTTATAATGCTAGTTTGAAAGTTGTAGATAGTAATAAGCTTCAAACTTTACAAAACTCTTGTTTAAGGCTGATTTTTGGCATTAAACGAAGAGAACATATTTCTTATAAATTAAAGGAGATTGGTTGGTTATGTATGACAATACATAGACAACGCGAGTTTCGAACAATTTGTTTGTTTCACAAAGTATTAATTACAAAAACACCTGCTTATTTGTACAACAAAATTACGTTTCGTACAGATATCCACAATTTAAATTTACGTTATAGAGGGCTACTTTCAACACCTTGTCATAGAACGGTCGCTTTTGAGCGATCTTTCACCTATCAAATCTCAAAGCTCTATAACGCAATTCCTTCAGAACTCAAAAGTCTACCGATAAATACCTTTAAACGTAAACTGAAGAGCTATCTATACGCGGAATAGAATCCTTTTGGTTTTGGTCATAAAATACTTTCATGGTCGTACATTGTTTGGAGCACTAAATGCAATTCCACGCCTGCACGCATTTGTCAAGATTCTTCTTGTGTTTGGTTGCCTTCAATATTATTTAGTTTAAATAAATATATCTCCTTTTGGGGTTTAGATGGAAGAGCAGGAGGGAGGTAATGCACCTTTCAACTGAATCTCGCCCCAGTTTTATGTAATCCATTATATTGTTTATTTCTTTGTAATTAAAGGCATTTATTATTATTATTATTATGGTCGGTGTTTCTTGTGAGAACTCAGGTCTAGCCTGGTTAACTAATCGCACGGATTAAAATCAAGTAACGATTAGTGTCTGTGTCTGTGTCTGGTGGTTATGTAGGGTCCTTAAAAAAAAAAAAAAAAAAAAAAAAAAAAAAAAAATTCCACACGTACATTGGACATCTAGGGATAATGTAATTCGTACTTACCAACATACCTATTGATGGGCACAATAGCCAACGCTATCAGGAAAGAGGAAAACAAAACAAAACAAAAATCATTATAATAATTCCTGTAATTTTATTAAATGGAGTTTATTGTGTAAGTGTTTCTTTGGCTTTGCGTTTGGGTTGAATACGAGTGGGTTGTGATAACGTGGTGTGCCTGTGAAGAAGGAGTTTTGTGTTTTTTAATTGTATTTATGGTGTTTCTTTGTTCCTGAGGTCATATTTGTGAGGTTGCTTGGGTTTTTGGTGGAGATATTGCAGTATTTTGTGAGCCTGTGGTGCTGTTAAGGTTTTTGCGTTTCGGTTGTATACGAGTGGGTTGTTTCTGAGAAGAAGGAGTATTGTGTTTTTTAACTGTGCTAGGGCGTGTAACTTTATTGGATGGACCTGTCTTTGTAGTGCATGTTGCGTTACTTGTATTTATGGTATTATTATTATTATTATTATTATTATTATTATTATCGGTGTTTCTTGTGAGAACTCAGGTCTAGCCTGGTTAACTAATCGCACGGATTAAAATCAAGTAACGATTAGTGTCTGTGTCTGTGTCTGGTGAAGTTATGTAGGGTCCTTAAAAAAATAAAAAAAAATCAAAAAAAATAAAAAAAATCACACACGTACATTGGACATCTAGGGATAATGTAATTCGTACTTACCAACATACCTATTGATGGGCACAATAGCCAACGCTATCAGGAAAGAGGAAAACAAAACAAAAACAAAAATCACACACGTACATTGGACATCTAGGGATTTATTATTATTATTATTATTATTATTATTATTAAGTGAGGACCAAGTTATCGTAGGCACCGTGATGGTACAAAAGGGTAAAAGTACAGTAAAAAGGTCCGACAAAAGCATACATCTAAGAGAGTACAGAGTCTTAGGGACTCGCCTGATAGTGTCGTTTCAGCCCAAATGAATTATTGTAAGAAAAAAACCTTCACGCCCTAAAATTAGATAGATCCAGCGGAAAACAATTTCTTCTAAAAAGTACCAAAGTATACTTATGGTATTTAGCTAGTTACAATTATTTTTATGTCGTTTGAGATTATGTACAACTTTTTCTAAGTTTCCCCTCCTACTCCAACAAAGCGAATCGCTAAAAGGAAATCCTGGTCTGTGGTATATTGGAATCTTTCAATATGAAAATGACAAATTCGAACCAATTAATTGCTGTAGATTTTCACTCAACATGCGCATGCATTCCCCCTTACTTTAGGATAGCGTTTGTAGAAACACTTCACAAAATAGAAAGGGACACTCCAAAACATGTGTAAAGCCGTTAGACAATCCCTCTAGGCATTATTTTTGCTCAGAAAAAACTCATGGTTGATTCATACTCTAAATGGGGTAATGAACCATACATGAAATTAACAACTCAATTCCTCAAAACCTCAAAATATTGTTCGTCAATAATTAAATATCCATGG